TGGAACTGGGGATTGAACTCAGCCCCTTGCACTTGCCAGACAAGCGCTTATTCTACTGAGCTATTTCTCTGGTCCCCAACACTTTTTCTTTATGATATGAAATGTTACTAATTTAGATCCCAACTGGCGGGTGTCTTTAAACTAGTAACTTTCTGTACCATGTTCAGCTACATCTGAGCCAATGGCATTTCCAAGATTTGGATTATTCTGAATTTATACACCAACATTGTCAAAAAATTTAGGACTTTTACCTGTTCTACTGACATGGCTCTCGTCTCTGAAGAATGGGTTGCATCCACATAAAATCCAGCTCCTGATATGATATGGACTCCAGTCTGATCAGAGAGCCACTTCAAGGTCTGCACATCCCTTTGGAGGCCAGTGGTCGTGTTCTCTACCATAGCTCCACCACCCTTAGCTTTGAAATACAACAACTCTTCCTTTACGGCTTCTCTCTCCTGATGCAACTGAAGATTCTCTTTATGGGAATAAGGGTTTTGCTGAATCCAAAATAAGTTTTTCATCAGGATAGGTTCCTTAGAGATGGTTTCATGGCACGGAGCAGGTGGGTAGTAACAGCAATCAAAGGTCATTGTCAGATGTTCATGGGTCAGCGTCCGGCCCAGTTTGCTTGGGTCCACTGGACCTGAAACGGTTTGCACCTTTCCACTTAAGGAAGACATTTCTGATGGCACCACCAAGAAGTGCTCTAAAAAGAGTGTTTTCTGGAAAACAATAATCAGCAAGATTATTTTTTTCTGGAAAAAGAAAACAAAAATCAGCAAATTTAACACATCACACACTATAAGGACGCTGTGAGTGGATACCTGTGTACGAAAGAGAATCAACAAAACCAGAGAAATGCCCTCAGTTATCAACATGCCCACGTCAAAGCCTACCATCCACCTAGTGCTGAGTGACATGCATGGTATGACATATCCCCACCACAGCCATGGGGACTCCTCTACATGATTGAGCCCACCAGAAATATTTCTTTTAATATTCAGTGCACATTTAAATTTCACTTACTTTTATCTTATTAGTTATAGCTATACTTTGGGATAATTGAGTGGCAATCATTCAACAATGCTTCATAATCAATACCAACGATACCAGCCACGTATCAGTTGTTTTTAATCATTTTTCAGCTAGCTTAAATATACAGGGGCTAGTAATTATTCTGTGGTGCATTTGCTATCCAAGTAAACACATTTCTTTTGAATGTCTGCTATGTGCTTGACATTGGAGCTATGAAGAAACAAAAGATGAGATCTCTAAGATGCCTGATTTCACAGAGGAAATTTCTAAACTAACTGGAGTGGGAGGAGCACAGCTAGGGTTTTTTTTAATATAATGACAAAACAACAATAAAGCTCTTCATGTAAGACAGTTTGTTTTCCCGAGTGCATATAAAGGAACACTTAAAAAAAAATCTTAATGAAAGCAATTGTGACACTACTCAATTGACATTGCAATCTCTAAAATGAGACCTCTTTATCCCTTATATATTCTCCTGAGGGGATTTCACTGACCTTCTCAGACCCAAAAGCTACAACTCTTGTTGCATAGGTCCTGCTTTACCTTGGTCTTAACCATCCAGCAGAAAAGTCTAAAAATGAAATATAAGAAGTAAAGCCATGCTGTAATGTTGAGCTGTAGCGGACTCAGGTCAACAATTTCTGACATTGCCAGTCAAGCAGAAGACCCAATACTATTATGGGCTACTGAATTCTTTTAGAATATTTTGCTGAGTTAACACACCTATAATATTCAAATAATGGAACTAAACAAGGAAAGGGGATACAGATGAATGTCCATTTTGTATCTGTGTATTCAAAATGGTTAGGATAGATATATAGTTACATTCTCTTAATGAATAGAGGGATTTGTTCTAATGGTGTTTGTAAATAGGATATCAAGTCCACATCTTGTACAGCAATTAACCACTAGGAAGAATGTATGCAATGTGTTAATTATTGAAACTGTCCTACCAATTTGGTTTGAAACTGTCTCATTGCTATTTGTTTCTCAATAAAATTATGGAAAAAATAAAAAAAATAAATGATCTAAAAAAAAAGAAAGGCAAAAAAGTATATATTCTCAATTGTGTTACAATTTCTATGTCTGGCATCCAAGAGCCCCATTCCAACCCTTGTGTATTAAATGCTCAAGCCCTAAGTGAATGGGTGCAGTTGATAAAGAGAAAGGCTTTGAAAGCAGTGACTGCAAAAACATTGTTCTTTCTGGCCAAGAACAAAACCACTGTCAGAAAGGAAGTAATATGCTGGCCCTTAACCAGACATAGTGGAAACAACTGACCAGGAGCTGAGAACAAAAGAACGTCTTTCAAGGTTCTCAAATTGTTCCTGAACAAGACATTCTGAAATCATTATTTTCCCCCACATATCTCTGAAGATCTTCTTTGACATTCTAAGAATTGTTTTCTTAAAACTAAATTAGAATAACAATGCACATTTCATAAGTTGTCTCAAGAACTATTTTGTATACAGTAGCCTTGTTATGCTAGTTTTAAGAATTATTTTGTGCTTCCTGGGTCATTTCCTTCCACCTTTCCTTCCTTCTGTAGTTGATCAGAGAGCACAACAGTGGAAGGCTTTGGAATACATTTAATGAATGCCTTGAGCAAAGTGAAGCATGCATAGGACAGAGTAAAAATGAAATCAGAGATCAGGATAGAATGCTATAAGATTATACGTCAATTTATATCCAGCCATTGCAATATGTTGCATTCAGGTGTTTGAGAAGTATTGGCCCCACGTAAGTGACCAATTTTGGTTTTTGTCAGAGAATAGGAGTACTTGTGGCTCATGTGGGCACCACATGCTGTCTGACAGTGTTCTTCCGCAAGTCAGGCTTCCTATAGGGAGGCTGTTCACACGATGGCCACAAGGAAAGAAGAAGATGGTTCCTTCTCAGAGGACCACTACATCAACATCAGTCCTTACACAGGGCAACATTTTTCACTAGGACGTCTAGGAACATTTCAGTGACATCTAGGAACTCACTGTCCAGTGCCTTCTTCCTTCTTCTTGAGAGCAAAGAGAACATAGTTTGTTCTTTCAGTTGATAGAATCATAGCACCATTAATAACAGATTCAATCCTCCATATGGTTCAGTTTGGTGTTTCCTTCCTTTTTGCTGACAGGGTTACAGATATGTTTTGGAGAGTCACAGAGGGCAGGAATTAGAATAAATTGATAAAATACTATCAGTTTCACTAGAAAAGTGCCGAACTACATATTTAATTAATGTGTATTTGAAGGAGCAATGTGGCATATTAAGTCTTGGTAAAATAACAAAAAAAATCACTTAAGGAAGAACACCATTTCTGGGAGATTCCTCCGATCCTAGCAGATAGAGCAGGCTGGCTCTTAGCAGGATCACACGCAATGTAACCCACACCCAAAGGAGAAGGAAAGATTAAAGAACAAATTATAGTCAACACAGCTTTAAGTTGCAATGTATCTTTGAGAGGGATGAAGTATATATCTAGAATTCACAGTGGCTGTACAGTGGAGGAGCCCTTTTCTGCTTATACTCAACCTGGAAGTTGCTCTCTTTTCAAAATGCAGAGAATTCACATTCTCTGGAGGGCAGTTGTGAGCCATAGCTGTGCAGACAGAAGTGACCACTGATACAAGAGGAGGCTTCTGGCATCTTCAGAGCAGCTACAGAAAGCTTTGGTATTGTACACCCTGCACCGAAGAGAGGGGCAGTGGGATAGCTGGAGTAATAAACAGAGTTGCCAAAAGCTCTGGGATATGTTCATGGGAAAACCGAGTACCCAAGAGGACAGTCTCCAGTTACTTGTGCGACGGAAGCAGAGGACATCACTCTTCTAATCCTGATCAGTTTAGAATGAAAAGATCATTAACAAAATGGATGAGAGAAAGAAAACAACAGCATTACTACCATGCAATTAGAAGCCAGAGACCACAAAGTAAGATTTGCCTAATTTTTTTTTAATACATGAGTAGGTTAACTTTTATAAAATGCATAGAAAATTTCTCTAATTCCTGAAGCTTTGGTGGGAAGGAGGTAATTTGGAGGCAATTTTAGTTCAGTTTCATGGAAACTTTGTCACAGTTATTTTTGCTCAGCCATTATACTTAAGATAATTCTGTCAAGCTAGGTGGAATATCCTCAGCTACAGTCCATGTTTTAATGGAAGGATGCCACAACTGTGAATATTTCACATGTGAGTGGGTGGGATTTCTTTCACATGCAATATACAGACACACCATCCTTCCCCTGCAGGCCTGTTCTCTTTCCCTGCCCAATGCTACTGCTTTGGTCCTACAGCTCCTTGAAGGAACCAGTCCTGTGGTTTTAGATGCAATGTGCAAATCTGCAAGGTCGTTTTTAGTGCATTAAGTTCTAGTTCACTTCCCCAACTTCTCATATAATTTGTTCTATTTCACTGATTTATTTCGCTAAATATCCTAACCTCTGCCAGTAATAACACATGGGAAGGCATCTTAAAGTTCTGTACAAAAGAAGATGTGTAGTGAGTGGGGAAGGGAAGGAAGGAAAGTTGTATTCCTGCAAAAGAAACCCAGAAGAGAGTTGCTACCATCCAAAAAAACAAGAGGTAGCTCAGTCTGAGATGTCATCAGGGGAGCTCGCAAGACACCAGCAGTGAGAGGTAGAGCAGATTGAGCTTGCTGACTGGACTCGTTGACTTGATGATACTAAAAAAGTTCTCTTCAAAGAAGTGGCCCCAATATATTAGCTTTTCTATTTTTTTAAATGCGTTACTTCATAAAGTGCAGCAGCCCTCTATAAACACAGCCCTTCAAGCTGCCGTTTGATTTGTGACAAACATATTTTTAAAACCATAAAATATGTTTAAAAGCTTATTGGAAAACTTCCATCATGTAGGTTCAAACCTGTGAGACATCTCCCAACCAGTGAGTCTGCAGGCTGAAGAATGACCACACTGGGAGACCCGCCCCGCCACCACCTCTCCACTGTGCCCAGATATTTATGGCAAAATGGCTCCTCCTCATGCAGATTTATGCCTTTTAATATTAAACGCTGGTCAAAAGAATCAATACCATATTGGAATAAAGAATGAAATCTAACTCTACATATGAGTGCACAGAACAATTAGAGACCCAGGAAGTTATTTAAGCTGCGACATAAGTAAAACAAAAGTGCTCAAGGTGCAATGAGGAGTTTATATCGTAAATTCAGAGGAAAACAGGTTCATTAGTAAGCCTTTTCCCCTCCATTTGACTAAGAAAATAGATGATCATGTGATATTAAAGCCACAAAACTTATCAAACTGCTTGACTGAGTAGATTCTGTTTGTGGTTTCACCAAGTTTTCAGTTCAAACAAGGGCCATCTGGTCAATTCTCAAAATCTCTCACACATGATGGAGTTTGGTGATTGGTACTACTAGCTTCTTGAATTTTTTTTTACAGGTTTAGTCAATCAACTGAAAACATACTTCTGTTAAAGGAGAAAAAAAAAGAGGTGAGGAGGAATGCAATGTTAAAGGAGTGCAGGAGAAAGGATGAGGAAGAAAATTCTATCCCTACTTAAGTCAAAATGCCACATTGCTCACTCTCCTAACACTTTAGCCTTGGGACAGTGCAGTAGTATCTTCCAAACACAGCTGGAATCTGTTTTTGTTTTCCCATAATACTGTGCCTCTTCTCCTTAAATGAAGGCTGCACCATCAGTGGAGTCCCAATATTGAAGATACTTTCTTCATTTCACCAAATGTGCAT